GCATCATGGCAGTCATTTGACGTGACACACTAATGACAAACAGGGGCAGGGGTAAAGGGGAACTAGTAAGAGGAGAAGAAATAAAGGATTGAAATTTTCCTCTCATTCCCTTTATTTCATTCTTTACTCACACTACCAATCTGTAAAATGCACATTTACAAACATTGCAGAAAAATGTAGTTTGGTCCTTAATGATTACTCAGAGGCCTCCAGTTTCTCACAGAGGATGGACATCTGAGGGTCTCAAGCAGTTCATAAGGACCTTTCCCACTTATCTGCAGGCCAGAATGTGACCTTATCAAGCCTTAATGTCAAAAGTCCTGCAGTAATCACTCTTCTTGACCCAGAAAGCTGTGTACCTGTGTTTACTCTCGTACATCCCCTGAACCTTTCTTCCTTTTCAATTTTTCTTACATGTAAAAGGGGGAGGGGGAAGAGAAGAGAAGAGTATTTAAAAAAAGATGCATTGACAAGGTAGTAAAAGGAATAAATCTGAAGTCGTTGATTTTGAGACAGTGCTGCAGTGATGGGAAAGGGAGGAAAAAAGTGCATTTTGTTTCCTTCGTCCCCCATCTTTCCAAGCTTCCTCATCTTAAATATTAATTTTTTATCTCCAGAGTACACACTCATCCCTCACAAAATGTTCTGTCACATGCCTTTCCAAACTAAATGAACCGATTCCACCATGAAAATACCTTTCCTAAGCTGCAGTAACCACTCAGTAGTCCTGTGTCTTATGCCTGTCTGAAACATCCCTAGTATTATCTCTGTCCTGAACTAAATCTTGCTTCCCTGCATGTTTCCTTCTCCAGTGGTTCCAGGTCCTCACTGTGGACATGTCGACACTTACTGTGCATTCCTGTCCTTCTCCCGTGACTTGTCTCCAGTGTCTAATATACGATTAGCTTGACATTCTCATGTCTGGTCTTTCCCCTGATCCTATTAAAAGTTACAGTTATTGGTCTTCATTTGTGCAATGAATTTGTGGTCTTAACTCAGCTGCACCTTCTTGCATAATTCTGGAAGTTTCCTTACTTTTTGTTTGTTCACTTGTAACTGGAAACACATACTTTTGGGAAGTCAATTTATAGTCAGTTGGGACAGAAGAAAGAGACGGGCAACAGCGAAGTTCCCCTCAAATGCATGTAACCTTGTCTCAGGGTCACTGCAACCACAGAAAACTTGTATGAGAGCACGCAGCAGTCATTAATCTGCCTGCCTTTGTCTGATAATAATTACTTTAAAAACAGTGATCACTCCGCTTGCATTTCCCCAAATTAATAAAGGCTTTATATTTTTTTTATTTGCTGATTCACAGTCAGTAAAGATAATTAGCGAGAATCTCTATTAGCAATACAGAACTCCTCCTGTGTAAGCCCCTTTCATGTGACTTGTCCCATTAGCCCTTGTTTATGGCTTTTATTTGCTACTGAAGGAACAGCACATGTGAAGTGATGTTTGGGATTTAGAGTATTGTAACAGCCGTCTGCTATGTGACGACTTTTTAAAACTAATGCTGAGAAAATCAGAGTGCGTAAAACCACATCGTAAAGATTCTGACTGCAGACACACTAATCCTCTGCAAAGGCAGAGCTACTGATAGATTAACTTGTTAGACTAGACACACACAGTTCAGAAAAAGAAGCTGTGGTCACATCCCAGGGCTGGCTTTCATATGATGATTTAAAAAATCTGCCTCAACTAGACTAAAACTGCCATGGCAGGCTGGAAATGCTCTCCTCAGACTCAGTGTTGTTACTTAAAATACAGCTATGCAGTGAAACTGCAGAAGTCAACATAACTAAAATTGTAAAGTTAAGAGTTCAAAAGTTAGGAAATGCCAGACCAAGTTGCCTTTTCTGAATCGTCACTCCTTGCCTCCTTCTTTGTCTCACAGCCAGTGCACACAATGCAAAACTATTCAGTGTTTTGCAAGTGCCTCATTTGTTACTGCATGGCCTCAGGCCTTAATTGAAAAACGTCTAATATAAAGAAAAAAAATAATATAGCACCCTGTTGGATTATTCCGTGACACTCAACATTTACTTCAAATACATCACAAATAATGACTTTTAGAACACCTGTAAAGTAAGACATTTACATAGATCTCATTTCCTATTTGGAGATTGAAGGAATTAAGACCAAAAGTTTCTACGAAATACAAATGCTGTGTGTGAGACACTTTAGAGTGAGTTGTAAACTTTCTTCTACATCACACTTCATGTATTTGAGACCATGCTTCCACAGTGTCCAGTTACAGTTGTTTGTTCTCAGCGCATCTGCAAACTAACCAGGAACACCTAAAACTAAGTATCAATAGAACATACCTTGAATGATTTCACAGCTATAACAGCAGAACTTCAGGACACAAAGGAGGATTAACATTAAAGTTTATATGCAAAGCTGAACTGTGAAATATGAGATTTGTGGTTTCATTTAGCATTCGTGTTCTGGTCAATACTTAGAGAAGTCAAAAGTGCTCCAGATGAAATCTCCCTTCAGTTCGCTGTGTGATCTGAGCCTTAGCTTTGGGGTAAATGAGGCATGGACAGAAAATGTACAAAAAAGGGCATGATAATAATTGTTTTATAATGTAGTCATAAGAAATTCAAATTATGTTGTACAGACAGCCTTAACCTTGGTACTTTTGACTTTGCAAACACAGTAACATTTTAACTGTCTGATGTGTTTGTGGTATTTTATTCTAAATTGATAAAAGGCTCCCAAATCAAAAAAGAAAGTCCAGTATATGACATCCTAATTACCCTTATGAGTGATTAGCAGAGCTGCAACTGTTAGCTTTTGCATATGTATCTGTTTCTTAATTAAAACAATAAACAGCAAATAGTAATCTAGTTTCATTACGAAGTGGGCTTGGACAAGAGGAGACGGGGCACTATGACAAAAGGCTTCACAAATATTTCTCGGACAATGAAGAAGATCAAGCTTGCAGCTCTGTGGAGAAGCCCGCTCCCTTGCGAGTAGATGCACCTCCTCATTCTCTTGAAACCTGTGTTTCTTAGGGATGGCTACTGTCCTGTCCATAATTCTATCACTATTTTCTTTCTCAAGTGTCATTCTCATCAACCTGTTGTTCCCTCCCTTTGCACCCAACTCCTGATCCCATGAACAAACTACCCAACCAACCAAATTCAGCTTTCAACTTTCTGCCTGGACCTCCTGCTTCAACAGATCTCAGTTTCTCCCCTGCTGGTCCCCCACATAATCTATCTCTGTCGCTTCTCTTCTCCATCACTGTTTTTCATTTGATCACGTTGCTTATTCTCCTTCCCATCTACCTACATTTCTATTTGAGCCTTATCTTTTTGTAATACCCCAGAAATTTTCCTTAGTACTAGTTTTCTTCCTATACCCAGACTTCTCTCCATCTACTATCTTCATCTTTCCCTAATATTTTTTTTTTAGTTTCCATCTCTTCAGCCAGTTTCTGCCACCTTCCCATCCAAGCTAGCCCGTTCCCAGCTTCCAATCTCCACTACTGCCATCTATATAGTGTCATTTTTCTACTGAATCACATTTTGAAGGCAATTTTTATCATACTAGTCATTTAATATGTTTCTCCTCACCCCCAAACAAATTAAAAAACACAGCAAATTATAAGGGCTTACTTTGTTCATCCTGTTTTTCCAATTCTTTCAGACCAAGCAACATCTTAAGATATGTTAATCACACAGATTGTGTTCAGATCAAGTGTTAGTGACATTTTTGGCCCAGAAATCTTGTGCAGGTGAAAACTGAAAAATGTTCTAACAAATTAAAATTCTGCATTCAATTTGCAATGCTTTCTGTCTGTCACCTGATGACCACATTTCAGGTGATGACTCGTCAGTGCTAGGGATTGCTTTGCAGAAGGTGGCTGTCACATTCCATTAGCCTTTCCAGATGAAGGGAAGATCATCCCCTTTGGTTTTGAGAAAGCTGAATTTGGGCAGCCACTTCGAAACACACGGCTCAGTCAGAGGATACTGGGCAGTGGGGGATTGAAATACACAAAAATGGCTCAACTGAGCAGAGAGAAGGAGGTGGAGAGGAATACGAGAGAAAATTGAAAAGCCAAGATAGTATCAGGAGCCACAATAGGAGTGAAGTGAAAGTGGGTACATATTGTGCCAGGTGGAACAGAGTATCAGACAGGAGATTGACGAAAACTAAAGGAAAATAGGGAATTAACCTGCTTTTTCAATATCTAGTACTACCTCTGACAACAGACCTGTTAACCTGTTGGAAAACTTTATTTCAGTGTATATGACTCGTGCACAAGTGTTTGTAGACATCTGTTCTATAAATAGGTTGAGTGGCATGTCTCTTGTTCACCTTTGCTGTTGTTTAGCCTTGATTCCCCTCCCCGACGGCTGGTCCTAGCAGAATATTTATCCACTCATGGCACAATTCTGCAAACAGAATGGCTGCTAAATGACCAGTGAGCCAATCTTTGAGAAAAGACTTCAGTTTTCTTGTTACAGATGCCATTCTCTGCATCATCTTTAAACAGCTCCCCTATTTCTTCCTGTGTATCCATTTGAAAATTTTTGTCTTAAGGAGCATCAGCTACCTGCCCAAGTGGTTACAGAGACATCAGAATTACCCACAGCCCCCCACTATGTTTCACTTTATTACTTTTGCATACTGAAAAAGTACTATTTGAAAGTTACTTTTGTAGTGGTGATGCTGAAGTCCTGTGACATGGCCTTATAGAATACTACAGCAATACTGCAAGTACAAAATATTTTCCTCAAAATATATTCCATGTGTTTGATTTCTTCTTCCCCCACAAACTGAGATTCTCTCCATTATAAACAAAATCAAAAGCTAACTTGCAAAGGCAAGGAGGCAATTCGCCTGCTCGCAACTACATCGTCTTCTGCCAATATCAGAAAATAATCAGGAAAAACGCTGTAAGATATGCATGCATTCAATTTTAAAGCATGAAATGCTACAAATATGTCTGAATTCTAGGAAACACATTTATAGCAACTTACTTTCACTGGTTGAATAGTCCTGTGGATCAAGTATCCCTGATTCCTGCAGTGATCTAATACAGGAGTCCACCAACTCCAGACCAGTGGTGAGCTCATCTTCTATATCCTTCTGACCATCTGTAATAAAATTAACAACATAAAAATGTAAAAGAAAGGCAAAAGATAAAACCAGTTACATGTGATTAAGCTTTCACAGCTGATGAAGAAAGGGAGAACACACCAAGATCACATATTCAGAGGAGGCTGACAATATTGAAAATTATGCCATCCTGTGAAAGTGCGGCCTTGGATTAATAAGAGCAAAATGAGAAAGGTCTAATCTTAAAAAAATTTAGACACACATTTAGCAATGCCCCCTCTCGAAACTCTACATTAGTCTCGGTGTTCTTTTTGTCTACCCTAACAACTAATGCCAAATTTTGCCAGTTTCTAATTAGCTTTTTCACACACTAGCAATGAAAAAAGATATTGCATAAATAAATATCTTCTTTAGGAAATATCATCATTCTGGGAGAGAATATATGTAATACATATATGTCACGGAAGTCACAGAATTGTCTGAGTCGGAAGGGACCTCTAGAGATCAACTAATCCAACTCCCCTTCTAAAGCAAGATTGCCTAGAGCACATTACTCAGGAATATGTAGATAAATACATTACCTTGGGTTTGCCAGTGAAACTGCTCTTCTGTTGAACTGGGGAAAAAAAAAAAAAAAGGCGTTAATTTTAAATGAACTGACTCAGTAGTGCAACATCAATGTCCAGATCTAAATCTATTCTGAAGGAACTGACTTAAGAACAAGGGAATAGACTTAAGAATAAATAACATAATTAAAATGTAGCAAGTATTATTTTGCATATTTTTTTAATGAATTATTTGAACTGCATTCATTCAGCAGGGAGGAAGCTTCTTAACTTCTTAACTAAGTAATTTAAAACATGCGTATAGAAACTGCCCTCTTAGTCTGACATATGAATTACACTATTTGAAAGCAAAAATGTTAACAGTTTACAATTTTTCTGGATCCTCTTATTTGTCTGATTTTCCATTTTTTATGGAGAAAATGATAAATGCCTTTCTCAAGTGAATAGTTACATGTGATTTCTAAAAGAAATGATGAGTATGATTCCTGGTTCTACTGATCGTTATGTGCATTTTTTTACATTATTCAAATGTGCAGCTAAGTTAATTCAATTGGCCTACACAAGAGAGTAAATTTAGATGTGTCTGTGCTTCCATGTACAAGCACTTAAGCAATGGAAGGTCTTAATTTTAAGATAATAAGCAGGCACACTAGAGGATGCGTTAGGTAGCGTTTTTTCTATAAAATGAACGATATATTCAAATGAATGATAAAATGAATGATATATTCAATTAGGCAATGAGTACACTTTCCTCCAAGGCATCATCTGTTTATGCTCCAATATAGGTCTTTCTCACATGCCAAGAATACAAAAAATAATTGAAGTTTGTATTGGGTCTGGCTGAGATGAAGTTAATTTTCCCCATAGCAGCCCTCATAGTGCTGGGCTTTGTATTGGAACCTAGAAAGGTGTTGGTAACACACCAGTACCTTGGCTACGGCTGAGCAGTGCTCCCACAGCACCAAGGCTGTCTCTCCAACATCCCCCTCCATACCAGCAGAGTGGGGGTGGGCAAGAGATTGAGAGGGGACACAGCCAGGACAGTTGACTCACACTGACCAAAGGGATGTTCCATACCATATGATATCTGCTCAGCAATAAAAGCTAAAAAAAAAGGGGTGGGGGTGGAGAGAGCCGGGGGGCGTTTGTTATTATGACGTTTGTCTTCTAGAGCAACCACTACACACCCCGAAGGGGTGGGGGGAAAGTGTTTAAAGGTTTAGTTTTTATTTTCTCATTATTCTACTCTAATTTGACTGGCAATAAATTAAATTAATTTCCCCAAGTGGAGTCTGTTCTGTCCGTGACAGTAACTGCTGCGTGATCCCTCCATGTCCTTATCTTGGCCCATCAGCCTTTCGTTATATTTTCTCTCCCCTGTTCAGCTGAGGAGGGGAGTGATAAAACAGCTTTGGTGGGAACCTGGTAATATGTGAGTATAGCTCCTAGTATCTATGTTCTGAAGAAGCATGATGTAAATTAAATTAAATGCTTCTTTTTGGAGGTTTCTTTTTACAGGAAGAAAACCTTGGGTTAATTATTTATCAGATTTGACAGTGTTAAAAAAAAGGATAACTGTTTAATTTACATATAAGTAGCTCTAAAAGGACAACTTTTTCTTTCTAGCTGGCATCAAAAGTGCTAACCTGGCAAATTCAAATCTATACATGATCATCAATTTCCAAATACCTGCCACCTGTGGTTTACATTGACTCACTGTAGTAAGATTTCATAGATTAGGAAAGTAACACTTTGATGAGACTCAAGTAAAATACTTGCATTCAAGTCTCCTGAAGTTAGTAATACTTAAGATAAACAGCAAGAGTCCTTTGGCAAATAATAATGGCAAAGAACTAAACTGGAATAAGTTACTTCAATTGAAATTACCTTTTTGAATGGAGCCCTAGTGGGTGGTGACTAGGGACAGTGACTCTTTTTGAAATATTACTTTTTCCAATTTGAAACTCCTTTTGCCTGATTCTGAAAATCACTAAAACTACTGCAACTACAGCTGACACGCTGGGACTTGACAGCAATATTCCTTTCTGGCATTAGTGTCATCCATAATAAGCAATATATTACTTTCTACTATACAATCCCTGTTCCAGCATCCAGATTTCTATGTGATAGATACCACCTTAAAGGACAGAAAAAAATGTGGTATCTCAGGTGGCATTCTTACCGGCAGAATGAATTACTGAATGCTGCTGGCGCAAACACACCTAAGGCTGTGCCACCTCATCCAAATCAGTGAGAAAAGAAAATGAAATCTGTGCATAAAGAGTGAATTATCATTTCCAGGAATTCCATCTTAGCCCTTTTTAAGCAGTAAATCTGTATAAAGTTCTGTAGAAGTTCATTATTGGCATAGTACAGATAGTATGAAATTAATCACTAATGGCTGATGAGTAGTGATTCCTAATATCGCTAGTCTGACTTCCACAGAAACTTTTTAACATTTCACCTTAAGAAACCTTAAATGGAAAGGTCTATAAAAAGGATTGCGGTATTTTTTTTACTATATTTTGTTTTTTCCAGTTTTAATCAGGCTCCTCCTCACAACTACTGTAATTGTCTTTTAATAAATACTGTAACTTTTATAGTCAAGGTAACAGATTGGCTATCAAAATTCTTAACCTAATGCTACCTTGTTATTCAACATATAGAATATGGAACAAGCTGTCCAGGAAAGGGGTTGAGTCACTGACCCTGGAGATATTAAAAAGATGTGTATATGTGGCACTTAGGGACATGGTTTAGTAGTGGGCTTGGCAGTGTTAGGTTAGTGGTTGGACCCGATGATCCTAAGGGTCTTGTCCAACTTAAACGATTCTACATTTCTGTGATTATATATTAAAAGTGCATTTGCTCCTACAAGGATATCAATAAATCAATGCCTATCTTGGAAACAAACATGTAAAAGGTTTCCCTAGGAAAATCTTATTATAATTGGACATATTTTAAATTTAGATGCCCTGCTTTTTCTTCTTTTTTTTTTTTTTCATCTTAAACTTCTTTTAAAAAAATGAGTTTTTCCTGTTCTTAGCCTGACAAGGATTCTTGACTGAAGCAACCAGACATGTCTGTGCAGGGAGCCTTTCCGCTGTCACACAAGTGTGCCAAATCTGCTTGAGTGAATAAAAGTACTTCTTTTTTCTTGGTGCTTTTCTTTTAGGTTTTTTCCAGCTTCACAAGAGATCAGTCCAATTGACTGTGTACTCACATCAAATACATGAAAAGACAAAAAAAGAAATTAACAGAAGTATTCCCCCTAATTAATTTTTCAGCATGTTCAGCAAAATAAAGCTTTCTACTTTACAGTTTTTCTAAAGAAAAGGTTTTAAACTCATTACCAACCACTTTTTTGCAAACTCCTATGCCTCATCATATGTTTGCAAACTCTACCAACTTTGACTGAGGAAGCTGAGCAATAAAATACTTTCTTGAGAAGTTCTGAACTATGGAAACCTGCACCAAACTCAGACTTTGAGGAGGGAGATTTTAACTAGAATTACAATTGTATAGTGATAGAAAATAGTAGCATAAAATATTAAGGAGCTGAGAACTCATGCAGGTATAATTATTACTCCCTTAGCCCAAAACCAGAAGAACAATTTTAATTTATTTGCTGTATTCTTCTTTCATTACTGGTAGTCATTGCATCCTCCATCTACTTCAAACAGTCTAGTACAAAGAAGACAATCATTCTAATTAATTCTATTTGAGTGATATAAAGAATCCTGTGTCACTACTCAACTGTACAAAACTGATTCTTCTCTAGTTACGTTGACTTTGGAAAACAGGATTTATTGAAGGAAAATCCCAGGGAAGCAGAATAACTCAAGACAAAAACCAACCAAACAAAAAACAAATACTCCAACCAAACAAAAAAAAAGACTAGATATTGACATATGTTGATTTCTGGATGTTCATCTTGAAGCTAATGAACATATCTTCCATAAGGATGCACTACACTGTGCCTAAAACTTTACCTTTAATAACCACCTATGCAAGGAAATATTCCAGTGAAATTTGTTTTTCCTCCCTAAGCAAGAATGAATCATAGAATCATAGGATCATAGAATGGGTTGGGTTGAAAGGAAGCTTAAAGATCATCAAGTTCCAACCCCCCTGCCATGGGCAGGGACACCTCCCACTAGAGCAGGTTGCTCAAAGCCCCATCCAGCCTGGCCTTGAACACCTCCAGGGATGGGGCAGCCACAGCTTCTCTGGGAACCTGTTCCAGTGTCTCACCACCCTCACAGTAAAGAATTTCTTCCTAGTATAATAATCTAAATCTTCCCACTTTCAGTTTAGAACTGTTACCTTTCAACCTATCACTACACTTCCCAACAAAGAATCCCGCCCAATTTCTCCTGTAGGCCCCCTTTAGGTATTAGAAGGTTGCCATAAGGTCTCCCCAGAGCCTTCTTCTCCAGGCTGAACAACTCCCACTCTCTCAGCCTGTGTTCATAGGAGAGGTGCTCCAGCCCTATGATAATCTTCGTGGCCCTCCTCTGGACTTGTTCCAACAGGTCCACGTCCTTCTTGCGCTGAGGACTCCAAAGCTGGATGTAGTACTCCAGGTGGGGTCTCATGAGAGTGGAGGGGCAGAATCACCCCCCTTGACCTGCTGGCCATGCTTCTTTTGATGCAGCCTGGGATGTGGTTGGCTTTCTGGGCTGCAAGCACACACTGCCAGCTCATGATGAGCTTCTCCTCAACTAACACTCCCAAGTCCTTCTCAGGGCTGCTCTCCAGCCATTTGCCACCCAACCTGTATTTGTGCATGGAATTGCTGTGACCCAGGTGCAGGACCTTGCACCTTGGCCTGGTTGAACTTCATGAGTTCACATGGGCCACTTCTCATGCCATGCCACACAGCTTGGTGTCATCAGCAAATTTGCTGAGGGTGCACTCTATCACACTGTCCATGTCTCTGACAAAGATGTTGAAAAGCACTGGTCCCAGTCGGGACCCCTGAGGAATGCCACTTGTCACTGGCTTCCACTTGGACATTGAGCCATTGACCGCAACACTTTGTGTGCGG